GGAATGTAGCCATTAACATCCAAGTCATTTCAGTGGATTTTGGAAGTCATCCCTAAAACCCATCTGTTAGAAATCACTTGTTCCAAGCAGGAATTCCCACCCACCCCCACACCGTCTCTCTCTCTCTCACACACACACACACATTATACCTTCCTTTATGCTTGTTCTCATGGACCCTTTCTGCTTCTAGCGGTTAATTTCTATTCATCCAAGGTGAGACATCCAATTATTACAATATCTGCATTTTCCTATTGATGGATATACAATAAAAAATAAGACTCTAATGCTTTGACTGGTTGAAGAAACATACTGACACCAGTTTCTAATTTTGTTCATTATATGTTGCATAACAAAAATAAAATACACTTGAGAAGTAAGCAATATTGTTCTCATCTCAATTTCATTAAACCCTTGCTGCCTTCAAAATAATTTCGGAGCCTTAGAATATATACCTTATGCATACATAAATGCAAGGAAACAGCCTGAAAGCATATGCATATCCTCCTGTCATGTTTTGAGAAAGATAACAAAAGCATTCTTTTTTCTATCTACATATTGTTCTGTAGTGGATTAAATAATTAAGCAGAGAAAAAGGCTTGTGCTTTGTTTATATCTTGCAAAAATCTGAACATTTGAAGTAAATAAGACAGCATTTCCCTTCAAGTGTATTTTTAAATAGTATTCTATTAATGATTAATATAGATTTACATGAATTGGTGAAATAATTAAAACCTACATTTCTCAGTTATTGTGTTGGTCCATCAGTGATACACACTATCTCCAGGGAATGGATGGTGGAACGAATCCCACAAAGAACAGTTAATCATTACCCTGTTTCCCCGAAAATAAGACATCCCCTGATAATAAGCCCAATCAGGCTTTTGAGTGCATGTGCTAAAATAAGCCTTCCCCTCGAAAATAAGCCCTCCCCGAAAATATTTAAACACAGAGCTGGAAATCAGGTAAAATGGCAAGAGGAGCCCAATCTTGCTCCACGCAACCTCCCCGAAAATAAGGCCAAGCACTTATTTCGGTGTTCAAAAAAATATAAGACAGGGTCTTATTTTCAGGGAAACACAGTATTTTAAAAACAAACAAATAAGACAAGTGTACATTTTGCTTGAAATAATTCATGTTTACCGAATTAAATAATGACATTTAAATATGAATTGATGTAGCATATATGCATAGGCATCTACTCATTGTACAGTGAACTAGTTATTGTGGAGGATTTAGACAGCAACTGCAATCTTATTGTATGATTCCAATAAGATCAGAACCCATGGAGAGAATCCCTGATTCCATCTTTGGTACATGTCAACCTGCATTTACTATATTACAGCGTCCTTGGTCATCTAAATGCCAAATAGCACATTGGTTGAAATGTACACCTTTATCTCAGGCTAACATGTAAACAAAATGCAGATTAGCTCCCTGTCCAGGAGAATAAATTTTTTGGAATGTGTGGGGAAGAAAGAGTAGACGAGAGGGACTATAGACAAAATTCAGGAGGAAGATAAGCAAGAATTTGTATACTGAGATAGAAAAAAGGCCCCAGATTAAAATTTAGAACATCCTGAAAAAGGGAAAGAAAATTCCTATACATGAAATCATAAGGAATATCTGTTTCAAGGGTCTGTTTTTTTAGGTAGACATAGATAAATGTGTAATTATAATTGTGCTAATTTATATTTGTGTGTGTGTGTATGCACGCGCGTGCATGCATACACACTTCAAGTATGTTTCTTCTTTGAATAATTTAATGCTATTTATTTTCTCGCTATTTAGTTACCATATTTATATAACCATCCATCTCACAAAATGTGACTCTGGAAAGCACAGAATTTTTAAAACATTAAAAACAATAATATAAAAAACAATAAACAGTTTTTTAAAAAAATAATGTTACAGTTTTTGAAAGGCAAAGAAAAAGCAACAGATATTAATCATAATTTGAACCAGACCTTCAGGGAATCACTTAAAAACCAGTTTTCCTTTATCGGTAGTAGATAAAAACCACTTTGGCTTCTGCCCGAATTAGTAAGTTTATTTATATATTTCAGATAGATGTTTTGTTCCATTCATTTGAGGTTACTGGCGACAAAGATTAGAACATGCTATAATTTATCTTTGCGACGTTAGCAGAATATTAATATATAAAGATAAAAGAATTTTTCAATAGTATTTAATAAAATTTAATTTCGTTTTTACTCTGAGAGATTAATTTACTTTCAAAGGGTAAGGTGACATCTTTAGGGTCAGCTGATATCTTTAGGGTCAGCTGACATCTTTAGGTACATAACTGGAAACTATATGGTCATGAGAGTTGACTATAGATGAACTAATGAGAGAGTTATATATTCACTCATGAGAGTTCACTATAGATTTCATTTTGTAATTATCAGAAAATACCACAAGATATGGAAGCCTTACTTTTTTTACAGCTAGAGTTAGCACATATAACACCAGTCAGTACACTCTCTAGATCAGGGGTGTCAAACTCGCAGCCCACGGGCTGGATGCATCACGCTCTGGCCATGCCCACCTCCATTTTAGTGAAGGGGGAAAAGTTGCAATACATCACGTGACGACGTGTTGTCGCGAGTTTGACACCCCTGCCCTAGATGATAAGCAGTGTCATTTAGAACTAGGAAGTCATCTCCCCAGGGAGCAAATGGAAAAGCTGTGTGAAGACTCAGATGGCAACTGACAGAAGTGGCTCAGGATTTGTACCTTTCCACTTCCTATGTTCCACCATTCAAATGTGACTGACCAGTGCTATCTGGTGACTAACCTATCTAAAACCACTCCCCATAAGTGCTCTTTCCAATGAATTTTAACTGTGTGATTGGAAAGGAGATTAGATTATTTTTATCCACTATTCTTATAACATCTTTCCATACATACTATACAGTATATGCTTGAAGAAATGCAAATACATATACCAGTGATGGCTAACCTTTTTGTCGTCACATGCTAAAAGTGGGGGGAGCATGGGAAGGTCGCATGTGTGTGTGCCCACACCCATAATTCAATGTGCCCCACCCCCGTGCATTGGCCACTATGCCATCACGTGCCAAAAGAAGGGGGAACATGGGGGGTCGCGCATACATGTGCGACCCCCCCGTGTTCCCCCTTCTTTTGGCACATGATGGTACGGTGGCCCGGAAGGCCCATTTTTACCCTCCCCAGGCTCCAGAAGCTTTCTAGGAGCCTGGGCAGGGTGAAAACAGCCTTCCCCACCCCCCGGAGGCCATCCGGAGGCCAGAAACAGCCTGTTTCCCGACTTCTGGTGGGCCCGGAAGACCTGAAAATTAGCTGGCCGGCACGTGCATGCATGCTGGAGCTGAACTAGGGCACATGCCCACAGATATGGCTCTATGTGAAACCTGTGGCATGCGTGCCATCGGTTCACCATCACTGACATATACCATTTGGAGTGATCTTAATATAGAAAACAGATGTTTATAATCCTGTATGTAAAAATGAGTTTTGAACCTTCAAATAGGCATGTGGATACCCAATTTTGGTCTTCTTCTAATATTCTGCTTTGCTGTCTGTTATCCTTTACCCTTCGCTTCTAAACATCACAACTGTGCTATTATGTTTAATAAAATGACAGCCAAAAGCTTTCTTAAACTAGGAAAACTTTTAATAATCTGGCAGCCCAAAGAAGATTATGGATTTTTTTTCAGAAGAAATAAACAGCAAACAAAAATTTGTTTTAAATACAGTTTATTCAGCATGTTGTAATCCATAGTTAAATTAAATACATATGTACATCAATGAATAGTGCTAATCCAAGAAAATACCACCAATTGATATATTTTTAAATCTCTCCTAGAATATTATTTATTAAGCCTAGCAACTGTAAGTCAGTTGCTTAATAGTCTAAGCATATGACAAACTTACACTTAAAACATTTATAGAATTTTATTGTTATAGTTTGATCATGTATTTCAATTTATAATGCTATCCCTAACAGTTTCAATAGCCATTCAGTTGCATGAGTCATTCAGACTACGTGGGTTAAGCATATATGCATGTTTTACTTAGAAATTCAGTTACATTGTCAGATTCATAAATAACACGGAGATAACAGCAATCTGCATCAATAGTAATAATCAAATAGATATTGAATCACGTTTCTACTTTTATATTAATGCATTACTGAATTACAGTGAGTTTTGACACTTTTATCACAAATAACCAAAAATTTACACTACGTTCAAAAGAAATATTCAGAACATCATATAAACACAACAGATACATTTTTCCATTTAGCATCTCATTCTAAATTCTGTTTAGAATAAAACAATCTACCCAAGTTCCAGACAATCATTTATTTATTTATTCCTCAATGGCATTTTGTGTAGTTCATTTATTAATTTGATAGCTGTAGAAAATTTGGGATTTATGACTTTTCTTATGCTGTCCCCATTTGTTAAATGTTTGTTAAAAGTGTTTTTTCAGGCACTATGTAACCAAGCAGAAGATTCACATGCTGCAAATAAAGTTACCTTGTTTCCAATGGACCTTTGGCACATGAATCATCCTGACAGGTTAACAGCTTTTATTTTGTTGTGGACAAAATTCTGCAAACCTTAGTATTAATTTAAAACACCAATGAAATATCATTAAGCAATTCTGATAACAAACTTCATCTACAACCACTCATCCCAAACTGGCTGTAACTGGCAACATAAAATAGGAAGGCTATCATGTCTGCAGTAACCTTCTAAGGACATTGCATCTTGTAATAGTCTTTCCAAGCCTTGAACCTATGAGCATTACTTAAAAAGCCTGGAAGGAAACTTCAGCTTTACAGTGGTATATACATACATACATACATACATACATACATACATACATACATACATACATATATATATGACATTGTTTTTAGGCATTTCAAGGGTCATAAATAAGTTTGAAGAAACTTCTGCCTTAATGCCATCCATTATATCAATACACTGAAAGAATATTTCAAAGTCTAGCAGCACAGGTCTATCTGCACAGACAGTATTACATTACTGTGTAGATGCCAGAATTTCTAAATTTCCAAACAATTCAGGGTGACTGCACCCCCAAAATGAATTATAGAAGAGACATGCTTTTTCCAGAAGTTAAAAAAAAAAATACAGCTCTGCCAAACTTTTGAAGATTGGAAACATGCTGTCCTACTTTTGAAAAAAAAAGTTGATTAAAAGTCAGTTTTCTTTAGTTCTTCCATTGCAAAGCAATATACCAATTTCCAATTTCTAGCACCAATTGGTGGAACGTATCCATATCCCTAAGGAGATTATGTAGCCTTCTAAGGCTACATAAGCAGCAAGATATTCATAAGCAGATCAATGAAGGACTGATATCCATAAGAGTGTTCTCACCTTTTTCAAAGCAGAGGAGGTCATGTTCAACCAATGAAGTTTTAAGTTAATGGCTTGAGTGTTAGGATAATGGCAATATTCTTAACTAGAACTTGAGTTCTAATTAAACCCAACACGTTCAGGAAGAACAGAAATGAAACCAACAGACAACGTAGTTTTCAAGGTAACATTAAATTGTGATTTTTGTTCTTTTTTCTTGTAAAGTTTGTAAAGTTTACTTAACTGACACTTTTTTTTTTATTGTGCCTAGCTTCAATTTTTTACATTTGATATTTTTTTCAAGGCCAGAAATAGCTTTCTTTGAAGCCATCTGATAAGCAGTTACATAGACAATAGGAGTGGAAAGTTCATTGTGGCCGCGTTTACTGGTAAATTGGCAATATCTAAATAAAATCCTTTCAAGCTTATAACAGAAAAATTAATAAATATTAAAATATTTTTATTCTGTTTATTTTTCTTAGGGCTACATAGCTAGTTCTGTTCATAATTTTGCAGCCAATAGGCGCAAAAACTTTTCTGTTGCATATATTGCAAACTTTTTTGTTTTAAAGTAACTGTTTCTCTGATTGTAGTGAATTTGAGTGGATCTGTATCAGTGGTGGGTTGCTACCAGTAGCAGCGGCAACAGGAGGCGAGCGCAAGCACACCCACGAGTGAACTGGTAGTGGCCGAAATTGAAACCCACTACTGATCTGTATATATTTAGGTAGCCAAACATAGTAAGGATAGAACCTAAAAATAATATTATATATTTGTATTCAAAAATATCACTTTGGTGCAGAAACATCTATGTCAATACATAGTTTTCTATCATGCAATATGTTTATGGCCATTAATTTGGATAGTTTTAAAAGGGGACTGGGAAAATACTTGAAGACTATCAATAACTTCTCATCTTAATGATAGTTTGCTTAGATGCTACCCATCAGTGAACGTTAGATATTAACCATCATCCTCTTATTCTAGGTTTTCTAAAAATACAACATGCTAGATCAAGTGGATTATTGGACTGATACTTCAGGACTGTTATGATCTTATATTAATGTGGTTTTGATGTCTCAAAAAGAAGCACTACTGGATGTCAGATTTATTTTGATAAAGAACCAGAAATATATAAAGAAAAGCATCCTTGTACAAGAGGCTGTTAATCTCCTTAAACACATGTGTTGTTATTTGGTCTGGCATTGCATGGAGAAAGGTATTGAAAACATAGTTATCAAAAGTAGCAGCCAAGTTATATTATCATATTCCCAATATACTACTAATGTAGCTTTTGAATTAAAATCAAAGGCCTTTTTATTTATTTTTTTCTGATTAATGAAGACTTCTAAAGTAATTGGTTATTTCAGTAGTATAACATCAATGAATCTTTTGTTCTGAAGGTTGACAAAAACCAAAAGTCTTGCAATGTATCTTTGCCATGACATTTTTCAGTGTTTCCTCATTAACACCAAATAGTCTTCTGGCTTTTCCCTCGTTCCTGATGAAGCATTTCCAGAGGAGCTCTTTTATAATCTTCTACTGCTGCTTCCTTGGGAGCCTGCACAACACAAAAGACCACAGCTGAAAAAGTCCAGAGCTTCAGGCTGTACTGCCCCTCCTGTGAAATCGTTGTAGTCTTCTGAGATGGGGTGACTCTTTCACTGCATACTTCCTTCCCCATGTTTGCAGTTTTAGATTTATAAAAGGATTTCTGTGGGAGTTTGAAGAAATGAGAACGGTGGCACAGATGCAACAGATTCTTTTGTTCACTGCCTCCTTCAGCTTCATATAAAAGAGACGCGATCCAGTGACATAGATTCTTCTCCATGCACATGATTAATATTTTATCAAGATTGACTGTTTATAGTGATTCCTTAAAATATCTTGATTTCCTTGAACAGTAGGTATCTTCTTTCCCTAAAAACAAGAATTAAAGGAACTGTTTTAGTCTTATTTAAATAAAGTCAATTTACTTTAGTAGAGCCAATTTGATGTAGTGTTTCAGGCATCAGGCTAAAACCCAGGAGACTTTGAGTTCCAGTCCCACCTTAGGCACAAAGGCAGCTGGGCAACCTTGGTCCAATCTCTTTCTCGCAACCCTAGGACGAAGACAATGGCAAACCACTTCTGAAAAACCTTGCCAAGAAAATTGTGGGGGCTTCTCCAGGCAGTCTCTGAAAATCGGACAAAATTGAATTGAAGAAAAAAAAATCACTTTACTCACTGAAAAGATTGTTTAAATTTTACAGACTGCTGGATAGGGTTATTTGTATTTAAAACATATGTGGGCTTTCTATGTGATAATGTTCACAATCAAAAATATGCTTACAATAATCTAAATGATTCTCTAATATGCAAGATTTTTAACAATATAGGAAAGGTAATCAATCCTATTCCAAAATGCATGCATGTGAACAAACCTAGCATTTTACAAATCTACTAGAAACTTATTATTTCTTTCTACATTTTATTTATTAATTGAATATGCATTTACGTCACCTTTCGAAGTTTTTTACATTTCATAAACATAGCTTGCGCGCCTGAAAAAAAATCCTCTCCTGTTTATTTCTGTTTTAATTCACTATGGCAGCATGATTTTAAGAAGAAATAATATTGTTATTTAATCTTTGTAAACAAGGAATCCTTGCTGATAGTTGAAAAACATGGTTCTATTAGTAAATCCCAAATGATTGTCTGCCTATTTCTGATGTAACTCACTGGGCATAAAATCAATATTTAGCCCTAGATAATATTGTTTAGTTTATAAACAATTATCTTATGGATTATTGTACACTATCCAACTGGAATTTCATAGGAAGAAAAGATTGGAAGTATCTTTCTATCTATCATTTTAAATATTCCCAGTAGTCAGACTACTTCACTGAATACAATTATAAACAAGATTGCAATCAGATAATCATTATAGCAATAGGTAAATTGATTGAAGTATTTTAAGCTTACATTCCTTATGAAATGTCTATGATATGCATTATATGACAAGATATGCATTATATGACAAGAAATCTAAACTGAAAAGAATAAACATTTTAAAGAAAATATATATTATTTGTAAGGAATATTTAAATAGGGCCAAAGCACTAACATTGCTATACAAAATAAACATTATAAACTCTACTAAGCATTTTTCTGCACACTTATTTGTATGTCTCACTGCCCACTAAACATCATGGGTTTTACATCTGTGTAAAGACTGCATTATTTTAGAAAGACTGTCTGAAAAAAACCTCAACTACCTTTTTTACTTTTACTTCATTTAGATGCTGAATAATGTAAAAATATTTTAAGGAAAAATATTAGTTTCTTGACATTACAGATCACATCTTCTATGCAGCTGTTTAAATTTAAAGAATTTAAATGAAAAGAAAAGGGCCAGATTTCAGTACAAAATTTTACATTCATGAAAACATTTCTGGAAAAATCAATTTGGGCTTCATAATATTTACATGAACAAACTTCTGCTCATATTGCAAACATCTTGTGCAAACACCCTTCTCTGGAATCATTCTATTAGCCACAACTATCTGTGAATTTAACCAAAGTTCATGAGATTACCTTATTTTGCTTAGATTCATGCAAAATATTTTTAAATGAATACAGCTTTGAAAATTAACAGAATAACAGAAGTGGAATGGACCTTGGAGGTCTTCTAGTTCAACCCGCATTAAGCCTCTATCATTTCAGATAAATGGCTATCCAAGCTCTTTTAAAAGTCTCCAGTGATGGAGCACCCACAACTTCTGAAGGCAAGCTGTTCCACTGGTTAATTGTTCTCACTGTTAGGAAATTTCTCCTTAATTCCAAGTTGCTTCTCTCCTTGATTAGTTTCCATACATTTCTTCTTCTCTTGCCTTCTGGTGCTTTGGAAAATAAATTGATCCCTTTTCTTCATGGCAGCCACTTTTTTTTCTGCTCCATAAATTGTCTATTGTGGAATTTTATGGTAACATAAAACCTATGCCACCATCAAATTTTCTTAGACATTGATCTTCTGTTGACTATCACCTTCAGTGTTATAATGAAATTTAATCGTTTATAAGATTATGGAGCTATCAAATGAAAACAAAACTGCCGTATTATCTATATCCTCATCAAACACAGATAATCTTGGTTTTGATTTGCACATATATATGTATATAGGCAGATTCTTTACACAGTCTTGTTGTTGTAAAAGAAAAATGGATAAAACTCTTCAATGAACTACTGAATAGTAAAACTTCCACTCTTTAATTAAAGCTAGTAACTATGAAATCTATTACACATGTGAACTCTGGGTAAAATCACAGTCCTTAGTTGCCTTGAAGATTCAAAGTATATGAAAAAGAGAATGTTATCATTCTATCAAAAACAAGGAAGATGAACAATAGGTATAATAGAGATGTGATCAAGGCCAGACAAAAAAAAAAAAAAAAAAACACCAGGGTCGCAAACTGGTGCTCAGAAAAATTGCAAACTTATTGTAGTGTTTAATAGTATAACTAATCCATTTTGACTTCTAGTTTTTCCCAGGGTAACATAAATATTGCTTGATCTTGTTCCAGCAGCAGCATTTATTTGATAAAACACAGCCTGGTAAAGTTCCGAATGAACTGCTATAAAAAAATATGAGTCCATAAATTGAAATTTTATTTGGTATACTATACCCTATAATAATCTTCCATTTTTAGAACACTAGCATGAAAACCTGTCTGTTTTCTTTATATGCATGCTCTTTTTAGTATTTTTTTCCATCCCCCCCCCCCCCCAATACAGCAATATCATATGGAACATTTTTTATAGAGATTGAGAGATGTAATGTACTTTTTTCATATCCCTTATTCTAACAGATGATTTCTCAATTCCATAATTTGTTGGATACTACACAAGTGGAATTTAATGTCCCACTCCACACCTACACTTATTCCCTTTTGACACCTTACACTTCCACATTCACACTGTCCTCCCACAGTTGGGTATCCTAGGATACAAATATTTCTCTCCTTGCAATTCCAGATGAATCTGTTTCCCAATGATGCTGTTTCCCACATTTCCTAAATAGAGGAATTTCAGCAAAACTGTTGGAGAAGGGAAGGGATAAATGTCCTTTGTCCAACCTTATTCACTACAGCTGCAGATTGGATCTATGAGGAACAGCAGACTGATAAAGTGAAAAAGGAGTGCTGAAAAAGATTCATTTGCTGAAGCCCATTCCATCTTACTCAGTGTTCAACTATTTCTTTAAAATGATGAAAGAAGGGGGTTTTGTTGTCACTGTTGTTTGTTGTTGTTGCTGTTTTAATGCAGGTCTAGCAGGATCCATGTTTTCAGAGCACAGTGCTTCTTTGCTGCAGCTGGGATGAAAATGCTTAGTCCTTGCCCCTCATGTTTAAAAAAAGGCAGATCTAGCAAAAAATTGTTTTTTCAAAGCATTCATTATCTCTTTAGTTAGAGAATGCTATTTCTCTCTACTCATATGCAAAGAATGAAACACTATGGGGACAATGGGCTATGTGTCTATTTGTGCACTAATTATTAATATTTATTTGCAATTATTTTTAAATTTAAGGGAATAGACTTTTCTTTTTTTAAAAAAATAACAATTACAAATAAATTAGCAAATCTATGCAATAGTGTAGCAATTAATGCTCAAAGGCCAAATGTTTCCTGTTGTGTTTTGTCACTGAACTTATTTCAATGTTTGATCATACACTCAGAGTTCTGTTTGGACTGGAAAGATATATAAATAATAGTAAGTAAATAAATGAGAAAGGAACCAAACTACCGGTAGTTGTCAAGAAATCCTCTGTGTTCCCCCATCATATGAAATTATGTGGAATGGGTATCATGATACTTAAAACAGGACAGTGTTCGTTTTTAATATCAGAATGAACTTAACATGTATAACTATAAATAATTATTGTTCTTAGTCTGCCTTCTATTGGACTATGATAACAAGGATTCTTTCACCTTTTTATTTATTCCAAATTTCATAATTTAAAATTGTTCCATAAGTAAGTCTCCTTAAACTAGAGTTGAGCCTTAGTGACTTAATGGACATTGGACATGTAGTTTTCTTTGCAACATTATGGATTGTTGTTTGTCATTCCCTTCTTCAGGAATATTTGAGGCGTGTCCTATTAGCTAAGAATCCTTTGTATTCTCCTGTCTAGCTATTAAAGTCCTTAAATTCTTCCTGCCCTGTGTTTCTCCCTCCTTGATATTTAAACCATCTTAAAATAATTCTGTTTCAGTCTTTCCGTTAGAATGTTACTCTGTTTCTTAGCTATCTTAACTTTCTGTTCTAAGAAAGCAATTGCCAATCATTTTTCATCAAGTTGGCAGGGCTTACCAGATATATGTGTGTACTGAATATATACATTATCTATGCCACACAGACAATTTAATTAATTAAATTGAATTATTATATACAGTATATATATTCCCCTGAGCTATCTACTTTTTTGGTCCTTGGTCAGTCCAGTAGTATATTGTTTCATCACTTTTCATCAATTTCCAGTAGTATATTGTTTCATCATTTTTCATCAATTATGTTTCATCATAATTTTGATTCGCATGAAATCCTTCCATTTCAAGTGACTGGGAAACTGATTAAGAGATGCATCACTGCAGTTAATAAAGAAAGAAGTATGCCTGGAAATGTGGGTAGTGAACAGAAAAGAGAAAAAATAATTAAAACTGTAGAAAACTAAGTTAATCCTTTAAGTATGGTGGCATTTCTCCATTTGTGAAATACGGTATAAATTGTTGGGATTAACTGTAGCAAAGTAAAGTACGCCATCCAAAACAAATAATCAATTTAAGTAGAAAGAACACTTTAAATTTACAGCAGAAAAACACACTTGGAGGTTACATTTCTGATGGGCAGTGGGAAGAACAGAGCAACAGTCATCTGTTCTTGCCTTCCAAAAACAGCAAAAGGGAAAAGGCGGATGGCTAAACCCTAAGCCTAACCATGCATAACCATTTCTGATTAGGGACAATGTTAGCCAGTTGTTGCCACCTGTTCGGTGCTACATACAGTACAAATATTAAAGTACAATTTTTTTTAAAAAAATGATAAAGTTCTTGCAATTGTGAAACATTTTATTTTTGTCTCACAAATTATTTATTATCTGAATAGTTTTACTGAATATTCCTTATGAATGAATTGTTCCAT